AAATATATTTGATTTAGTTAACAGGTAAACAAGGGGGAAAAAACTGTGCGACACGTAACGTGGCCGATATATGCTGAGTTTCAGTTAATTTTTGTGACACGCTTAATTTGTTCACAGAAAGGAAACTCAAATGGCAGAAAGCGACATCCTATTTGTTTTCTTTATTTTACAAAAGCGCAATGTTTTGTTTTCATTGTGAGTGTACACAAATAGACCTTTTACAGTGATGCATTATTAATAAGACAGTAGGTGTATTTTAAGTTGATTCTGCTGGTATTATGAAACAGTTGAAGTGATCATGCCGGCACACACACACACACACACACAAAATATATCAGTTCCAGCATTGCTAACTTGACAGCGCAGTTGGTACTTTATCAAAATATAATACAGTGAACCAAACATCAGCGCGCCTGCCTCTGTGTCACCGTTGGAACGCGACTGAAGTACAAAGCCTATAAGTTACATAATAAATAATAGTTTAGCATTTGAATACATCACAAATATGGAAATATTATGGAATATTTGGATTTGTGACAAATGAGAGAGGTAGGATACACGAGCACAAAGCTCCATTTCATATATAAAGCTAGCTATGTATGTATGTATGTATGAGGGTGTGTGTATATGTATGTATATATGTATACATGTATGTATGTGTATATATATATATATATAAATATAATTTATGCATTTAGCAGACGCTTTTATCCAAAGCGACTTACAGTGCATTCAGGGTATACATTTTTTACCAGTATGTGTGTTCCCTGGGAATTGAACCCACGACCTTTTGCGCTGCTAACACAATGCTCTACCACTGAGCCACAGGATGCTGCACATGCTACGAAAAAACTGGTCTGTGCGATGAATAAATTTACCACTGTAGCACGCTGTGATACAGTTTTGCATGTTCATAACTAGGGGTGCTCCGATTGATTGGCTACCGATCACTATCGGCCGATAATCGTTTTGGGATTGGCGGTCTCTAAAAAGGCCTATCTCAAAAAAACGATCTCAAGCTGATGACGCACCTGCTGTGAAAGGTTTGGCACGACATGCAGCTGCACCGTCTCGGTCTCTGTCCGGCGCGGGTGAAATAATTATAATGCTGAAGTTGAGCTACTCACCTTCATATTTCTTAATTAAATAACTTCTAAAGTAATTTGAAAACCTTGTGTGAGACGTAATTTCACAAACAGCGTGAGTGAAACACAGCGCGCGTTCTCTCTCAAAATAGCCTGTGCAAATGTCTTCAAATCACCACATCACGTCTGTCTATAAGCGAGCTGCACAGTTGACAGGAATTGTCACTTGCACAATCTAGGCAGTGTCACATCGTCACTAAAGTTTATAAATTGCATTACTTTTTAATTCTTGCCAGTGTTTAACCATTCAGCGCTCGCGCAATCTCCTGGAGACCGTGCGCTCATGCACACTCGCAGTGCACACACATAATGCCAGGTTCACACACATATATGTTCAGGGTTTGAAATTAACACCCGCCAACCCGACAAATGCGGGTAAAAATCAGCTGTGGTGGGTAACGCTGTCAAATCACTAGCCAATTTGGCGGGTTACTTTTCATAAGTTATGTTCACTAATTAATTTCTTGGGGGAGTTCATGCAAGCCAAATCTGCGCAGGTTTAGCGCAAATACTGAACTCGTGAGACATCATGACATTATCGAATATATTGCAAAAACCAAAGAAAAAACACACCTACAGGGGCACGCATACGCGACGTAATGAAGTCTGGTTAGACATGGGGTAGGCAAGTTTGGTCCTAGAGAGCCGCAGTCCTGCAGAGTTCAGCTCCAACCCTAATCAAACACACCTGAACAAGCTAATTAATATCTTCAGGATTACTAAGGCTATAGGCAGGTGAGTTTAGTTTTCAGGGTTTGAGCTGAACTCTGCAGGACTGCGGCTCTCTAGGACCGAACTTGCCTACCCCTGGGTTAGACCAACACTGGCTTTAGTGCAAGTGCGCATTTAGAGTGCGTTCTTTCACTGCATGATTCAGTCAATTAATATGCATTAAGAATGATCACATAATTCAAGATAAGGGGGCAGAAAATTTATATATTTATATCAATTCATATAGTTAATCATTATCACACGAAGCGTGCCGTTTTTTCTTTAAAAAATCTGCATGGCTACAAATGTGATATTGTTTATTGAACTGTTGTATAAAATCAATAAGTTAATATCAAAAGACTTACATTTTAGACAGCATATTGGCTGTTTTTGTGCTATTTATGCACTATTTCACGAACAAAAAACATTCCAAGCACAGCCACAGTACTGTTTTGTGTCTCTGAGCAACATGACGTTTCGTAACTGAATGAATCGACCATGTAAATGATTCGGTTCAATCGCAATGACTCACTTAACAGTAACTTGCTGCCACCTACTGGTGGTTTTAATTTCACATTTAAAGTATCTTCATTTTTTTAATAATTTCAAATATCAGTATTCAACATTTCATGTTTAAAATATCAAAACATTATTTATGCATTTGTAACTGCAGGCTAAAGCATTCCATGTCACTCTAAGCTGCATTAACGTGTAAATACATCTAAAAGCCACTTCATATGCAACTTCTGCAAAGATTAATTTTATTGATACTGATTTAATTTGTTTAGTAACAGCCTAAATGTATTATTATAACTGACTGATTAAATTTAAGAATTTGACTCAAAAGATGATGTACACTTTTAGAAAAAAATGGCTTTATAAAGGTAAAAATGCCCATAAAAGGTAAAAATGTATTTAAACTTATTGGAAAAGATTAATTTCTATCACTGCTGTGTACTGACCACACAGAATATGAAGAATATCAAAAACTTTAGGAGTCAGCTGTCCACAGTAGTCCTTAAGATATCAGCACAATAACATGCTCCGCAAAATATTGTCTAATTATTATAGATAAAATCCCAGAAAATATTGAGATATTATTTTTTATCAATAGGGCACAACCCTAGTACTGACACAATATGATTTGCAACGGTCGCTTTGTCATGCCCAGTGTAGACAGACTCAAACTATTGGTTTATTTCTGTCTTTTTTTTTATTGGCTAGTAGAAGTTATGAATGGCCGGTAACTTAAAAAAAAATATATATACACACAATTAAAATGTCGTTGTATCGTGCTACAGGTGCATTCTGTCAGCTGCAGTTCTGGCGCCTCCGTCTCAATATACTGTACAACGCCACATGCATTCACATCAGTGTTAACTCAGCGGTAGTTACTTTCACGGGACACTGCACTTATGCGCAATCACAAAACTGCATTATTTGCATCTGCTTTAAAGCCATACCGGTTAAACCTTTAATTCAAGTGCTGTTCTGCCTGTGCTTTTTCTGAGCGCGTACTGATGAAGCACGCTCACACTGAGAGCCTGTCGAAAAGCGCCTGATTATTGGACTAAGTTGTCTTTCGCGTCTAATACTGTCAAAAACACACAATGTTTACATATAAACACAGTTGGTTATGTCTAAAATGAAAGTAAACAGTTAAGAGAGAAATGCGTGCAGCTCTTAAAGGGACAGTAACTACTAAACATGCTGCCGACTGTCATTAAAGGGATAGTTCACCCAAAAAATTCAATTTCTTTCATTATTTACTCACTCACATTTTGTTCTAAACCTGTATTAATTTCTTTCTTGTGCTGAACACAAAAGAAAATATTCTGAAGAATGTGAGTAACCAAACAGTAGCTGGTTCACATTGACTTTGACAGTAGGAAAAAAATACCATGGAAGTCACTTTGAACCAGCAACTGCTTGGTTACCCACATTCTTCAAAAATAACTTTTATGTTCAACAGACGAAATAAACTAATTCAGGTTTAAAACAACTTGAGTAAATGATGGTATAAAAATGAAACACTATGACAGAATTTTCATTTTTGGTGAACTATTCTTTTAATGTTAATAAAACAACAAAACGCATAGAAAAATCACTCACTGCTCTTGACTGATGAACTTATCAGTCAGTTGCTTTAAAAAAAAAAGTATAATTGATGCATATAGAGTTTTATTTTAATATTTGTTTAATATTTACTGCTAAATACTGTACCTGAAAAATAAAGCACTGTTTGT